CCCTCCCTCCCTCCCTCCCTTTCTCCCTCTCTCCCTCCCTCCCTCTTCTTTCTCTTCTTTTTGGTAGATACTTTATTTTTCTCTTGTATTTGCTTTTTATCTTACTTTACAAATATCTATGGATTTCTCTTTTTCTGCTTTTAGGTTACCATTTTATGGAGCATGTCTTTTGGAGGTAACCCTTTAAGATGTGCCAATCTATTTTCTCTCATGTAGAAAATTAAATGTTTTCTCTGAAATGTCATCTTTTGTATTAGAAGCCTTATCTGGAACATAGGAACCATACAACAAAATGGCTCAAATTAAAGTATTTAAGGGATATTTTCACTTATTTTTGGAAGATTTTATAAGAAATAGGAAGGGCAGTAGGCTGAGAATCTTTCAGAACAAGAAGGATGGATGATGTTGATATTTTTTATCTCTTAGGTATTTTGTGCCCAAATGTTTTTGAATATGATATTTTTACTTTTACTGTCCTTGCTCCCAGAGAAGGGAAGTAATTGGCAGAGGAATAAGTCCTTTTAAAATTTCAGAATGATTTCTTGAGATCAAGGTAGTGGGAGAAGTGACAATAACAACAACATTTTGAACACATAATCTGCAAAAGATATTGTAGTTATTAATTTAAAACAACTTTTCTAATGATTACAACAACCCACAGAATGGCATTTCCATTTTATAGCTATAGAGACAGACTCCTTATTTGTGTAACGTAGATCATGACTAATGAGAGAAGCTTTCTATAAAGCCTGTTGATGCAGCTCATGAGTTCTGACTTGCCAGTTTTTCCTAACTATATGGTAGACAGCAAGCAAAACATCTCTCCCATGGTAAAACTGAAGAAAGGAGCCTTCAAGGTACAGCACTGGCCTCCTGTGACCCTGTTTGGGTTTACAGTCCTCTTCACGGTAACAATCAGTGTCAGGTCAACGTCTTAGACAAAACCATGCCTCAGTGCTCTTTAAGTGGAAAGTTGTTCCAGCATTTATGCAAATACTAATGTTTTTCTGGAGTCTAAGTTTCATTCTTGCCATGTTTACCATATAGATGCAGTTACAAACATTCCTTTTCGTGAGAGATTAAAAAGATGGTGAGGGCTGAAGTTTTGACGAGGCTATGTTAGAAAGCTCACTTGTCCTAGAGTTTGGAAACCTGGACTTGGTTGCCTGTTCTGTTGAATTTTAGGCTCATGTTTCATTGCATCTCATGGTGATGCAATATTCTGAAATATCTCTTGCATTCTACGAGATTTGATTTTTTTTTCTGGACCTCATTGCTAGGGTTAATAATGCAACTTGAGGTCACTTAAGACTTAAGACTATTATCTTACTGAGTACTCAGCCTGTTTGCTTAACCTCCCTTTCTGAGAACAGTGTAAGAATCAACATACTTGCCTTGAATTTCCCATGTAATCAACTATTACAACCTGAGATAATGCATAGCTGTGATATTAAGTTCTTAAGTTATGTACTCTTCCATGTCTCTGACCCAGAACAGTGCAAGTATATCATTTGTTGGAAACAGCAAATACAGAAGTTGAAAGTGACTTCCCCAAATCGACCATTAAGTTTGAAAGTGTCCGTGTATGGAAATTGGTTTATAAACAATGATGTCTGTAGTACTGTTAAAGATTTCTGTAAATTATTCCATTCCTTCCCCATGTGATGCTCTCTGTGCTGTTCAATAAAGACAGCAAAGCCCTTTGTGAGGGACAGACAAGCAGTTATATAACAGACATGGAGATACACACAGTGACATGTGACAGAAGCACACAGAACACACAGACCACATAGATTGACAGATTGACAGCCTTCTTCAGGCAGGCACAAATTCAGACTCATGCAACAGAAAGACAAAGGGTGGAAGACACAGGTTTGATGAGGCAGAGAATTCAAATCTGGACTTGTTCTTGGTGAAATGGCCCCAAGGGGAAGTGCTTTTATTTCTTTCCTTAATGCTACACTGATACATTTTTGGTTACTTGGAGTTACTCACCAATATATATAATTCACATCACATCTCTTGGATTTATTTACCTTCCTGTAAAAAGAGTCACTAATAATTGCAGAGTATTTAAGTAATGACTATATATGACACTCAATTTCTATATATACCCTATTATAAGCATGCACAGTATCACATTTACCAAGTACATTAATTAAAGAATTAGTAAAATGTAGCCTTCCAACTGGAAGAAAAACACATTCCTTTGCTTTCCTTACCTTCATTCAAAGGTGTTTTGCCACTAAGGAGCTGCCAGTATGTCTTCTGATTAGCATTTTCAGCGATATTGTTGATAGAAGAGATCATAAGGCCCCAAGATGTCATTTTGGTTTCAAATCTAAGAATAAAAGGTAAATATCTAGCACCTCAGGGGAAGGCAGGCAACAGGAGGTAAGTTGGAGGGACAGATGTTCAAAACAGAAAATGCAAA